AATCTTAACGCGTAAGGAGGCTTTTTTTAATTTGTTTAGTTATTTAGTGGCGCAGTTAGGTTTAATAAACGTCAGCAGTGGAGATATCAAGCCACTCAAAATAGCTTTTAATATAAATTGTCCACTAAAATCTCATTCAAATTAGATAACAAGACCACAAGCGACAAAGTCATTACTAATTATTTTTGCGTAGTTTAATGAACTTGTTTATGGCACAAAAAACTCATTCACCATTAGCATTACAAACTAGAAGAATTAAAACAAGACGAATCATCTAATCAGGTCATTTGTGATATGATCTCAAATTGGACCTTAATACGACTAGAATCGATTGAGCATGAAGGCAATCTAAGCACGTTAAAGAACACTAATTTTTGCCTAAGTGTTTTTGACGATTTCAGGTGCTCACTTGCGACAAGCGTAACTCGCTCTCGGGACACACCCTGTTACCCTCTCCCTCCGCCACTACTTGGACTTGCTGAATGTCTTGAGTGGGTGACTCCGCCCTACGGGGCATTGATGTAGGGAGAGAGGGAGAGAGAGAGAGAGAGAGAGAGAGAGAGAGAAGAAGCAAAGTACATCAGAGATTTCAGAGGAAGAGGATTCAAGTCAAGGTGGAGATTTGTTGATGCGACTTGAATCAGACTATCAGCCGCTACGACTGGAATAGTCGGGGGGTGCATGGGCTCAATGTTATTTGGGTTCGGGTCCTCGATATAGTGAAACTGGCTCTCTCTCGCCCATGGACTAGCTAACACACATCGTGTTATTGATCTAATTTTGTAGAGACAACAAACTCGTTCCGTATGTATAAAAAAAAATTGAAATCTGAGTTAGAAGGAAAAAGATAAGAGCCGATTAACAAAACTAGTAAAAATAAAATGTTTTTAATTCATTAGATATGGATTTTCAGTTATCACTTAAATCCAAAGGTCCAGATTTAGTTACTCATGGGTGGTTACTCACCCATATCTTGAGTCGAGGGCATGGACCAGGACATCGGATCGTACCGGATGGTTCAACTCGAAAAACCAGAAACCGAACCAATAACGACATGGTAGGCTTGTTGGCTTTGGAACTCTCTCATCATATGTCCCGCCGCCGTCTCCGTTGCTGGAATCGGCCAGATCCAGCGAAGGATCGGTAGAAATATGCGAAAGAGGGGAAAGCTTACCTTCTTCGCCTTGCACGACCTCGATCTCGTCAATATTAATGCTATCCATGGCTCTACTATGAATATTAGCAACAGCAAAGGGAGAAACAAGGTTGTAAAAGGAGATGAATCTCGGAGATGAACCAAACGAGGAAACAAGAAACAGACGAAGAAACAAGAAACAGAGGCTGAGGGAAGCAGAATGAGTTCCCCCCGATGGCGAACGAGTATTTATAGTTGACAAAGGAAAGCTGAAGGGTTAAAATCGCATCGAGAATCGCAACCGTCGGGGCTTTTCGAATTTCAAAAACCGCCGCTTAAATAGAGCAGTTAAAGAAAGACACGTGGACACCTATCGGATATAGGCACTAGCCGCTGACGTCACACGTTCCGCACACCGCCTGGGGGGCATGACACACCCGCGAAGAAGAAAAAAGCGCACCCAAATTCAAACTCAGTCACAATAGTCACGCGCAAACAGACCAGAACATCTCACGGATGGCAGGAAAGCACCCCCGAATTCGATCTCAATCCTAAGAGTCACGCGCAATCAACCCGGAACATCTCACGCATGGCACACCCGAATCCAAACTCAATCCCAAGAGTCACGCGCAACTAGACCAGAATATCTCGCGGAAATCAAGAAGCACCCCCAAATCCGATCTCAATCCCAAGAGTCTCGCGCAGTCAGCCAGAAACTTCTCGCGGAGATCACAAAGACCCGAGCCAATCTCACGGAACTCAAACAGGTGTCACTCACGGAATACCGCCTGATGGGGGGCGATTGTTGGGCATATGACTTGGGTCTAGCCGCGCCAATGAAGCACCTCGGCATCGCCCCCAGGAAGGTCAGGCGCGTTAGCGCCGACACGACCAAAGTTGCGCCCGCACGAGAACCTTGAGCGCGGCAGAGCCCACACTCGCGGACTAAAATCCTAGACACCGAACGACGACGTTTCAACCAAGCATTGACCAGACCAAGAAACCACGGATTTTTCTGACTCTATCTCTACGAATTACGAACTTCTCTCTCTAAGATATTACTCTCTCAACCACATTCTCTCAATCCCTTGTTCTTCGACCATTAGTGAGATCCCATTGCTTACTCTTCTCGTCCCCTTCTCCAGAACCTCACTCCTACACTCAGTTAGGTTCAAACAGGTACTGTCAGTATCCCAATATGTATTTGCAATTAATAATTAAATATATAAAACACAGTATGTAATCTAATTTAGGCCAAAGAGACTAGCTAGTCAAAGGGTCTCGAGTTCTCCTAGAGCTATGGCATGGATAAGGAGAAGGGAGGTGATGGTGACATCTCAATTTCTTGTCATTTGTAATATTTAATTCGACTGATTGGAGGAAAAGGGACGACATATGAGAGTGTATGCTTTTTGGTGTTATGAAAATAGCAAGAGATTGAGTGAGATACGAGTGACTTAAATTGGAAAGTAGAAATTGAGTTGGATGGGGGGTTTTGAGTTGTAAAAGAGGAAGGAATAACCAACGGTTTTGTACTATATTTCATTAATTTTTTATTTTAATCAGTATTCCGGTATTATACCAATCTCGTAATCGCGAATACCAAATAACACTTAAAAATGAATTCCAATCCCATTTTCTATCCTAAAAAGTAAATCAGTATTCGGTAATACCAAATAGTGATAAATTCGATATGATATTCGGTATTATTCCAAATACCGGTACCAAATTTCCAGTCCTAGATAAGAGCTTGGGTTGTCAAACGTGAAATATTTGGATTTTGGGTACACAAAAGACCAGCTCTCAACCAATCAAGGTTGTCGACTCAAGTTCGACCTGCCAGTCGAACCGGATCCACCAAAAATAAGCAAAAAGGGGTGGCAAAAGCCTAGTAAAGCCTCTACCAGGACATGATCATAACCTCAAATTAGAGGTGACAAATGGATTGGAGGATTGGATTTGTGTATTCATGGATTAAGTGGATTGGATCAAATGGATTGGTGGATTAATCCATGAATCCAAATGAAATCCAAAACCTTGAACTACTATGTAAATTTTGAAAAGTTAAGTACTAAAATGTCATAATAAAAAAAGTTTAGATACCAAAATGCAATTTTTCATTTACAGTTTTTCGTATAAAATAAATTTTATGTACGATAATATAAAATATAAAATTATAGATACTAAAATATAATTTGCCATTTGGATCCATTGATCAAACCATGAATCCAACAATTCGATTGAATTTTAATAAAATGGGTTAAATTTAAATGTATTGGATTAGTTGGATATTTAAGTGGATGCATTGGATTGAATTGGTGAATTGGATCACAAATGTCCACCTCTATTCAAAACCGACAAGTTTGACCAAGCGAGCGAGTCACTGACTGCAGAATGTAGATAGGTAAAATACCTCGGGTACTACTAAAGTTTGAGAATTGAGAGAGCTATGCCACTTAAGTAAGAATAGGGTATCACGTGCCCCTGAACTCTATTATATGTGCTCCCCGTACCACCTAAGATTACTGTTAAGTACATTCCCTTAAAGTTGAGAGAATATTCTTATAATATTTCATTTTTTAAATTTTAGAATTTGTCCTTCTACTTTTCTTATTATAAAAAAACTTTTGGACTTAAGAAATACATTATTTTTTAATTATTTAGTTGAAATCCTATTTTGAAAACTCTTATACCAAACCAAAATTTCAATTTAAAATTTAGAATCAATTATCATTATGTGTTCTGATAATTGAACTATTATCTGAAGAAAATATATATAATATGAATTCTGTTTAGTTGGAATCCTCTTTTAAATTAATTTAAAATTTAGAATTAATTTAAAATTTAGAATTTATAATCATTATAAGTATTTTCAAGGATCATTATGTGTTCTGATAATTGAAATATTTTATGAAGCAATATATTTATAAATTTTGTCTTGATGGAAATAATATGAGAATTTTATATTTAGTTCTTTTACATCATGCTGATGTTGTCTAATTTTTCATGATAAATCTACTTGTGATTTTTGAATATTATATTTTAGAAGTTCAATATTTATTAAATTTACAAATTTTAATTATCTTCTTATAGTCATATTTTATTTTTTAGATTTATTACTAAATATTGTAGCTTTTATAGTTTTCTTGTTACAAACTTAAGTGATATGTATACTCAACTTGTTAAAATTAAGTAGTATCCAAGATTTTTACCGAGACCATATTGGTGCGACGTCATTTTGTGATAGAAAGGGGACACCAACTCAACGACGCGGGCCGGCTAAAGATATGGTGAACAACCTTAGGATGCATAACTATGAGTAACCAAATCTGGATCATTCCTTTTAAGTGGTTGGCTGGTTGCAAATATAAGGGTGGAGGAATTAAATGCATTTTAGTTTCCCTAGTTTTCTTAGAGCATCCACATTGGTATTGCATTCTCAATTGCAAAATGAAATGACATAGGTGCTTGCAATTGCAAAATCAATTGCATTGATGCGACTACCAATTGCATTTGTTGATTGCATATTTACAAGCTTGTAACAAATGCAATTCCATATGCAAGTCAAAAAAGCTTTAAAAAATAGGATTTTTTATATTATTTCTTTTCTCTTTTACTTAATTTTCTATCATTTAAACATAATATTTAATTACATTTTCAATTGCAAGTTAATTGCATTGATGTGGGTGAATTAAATGAATGTGATATGGATTGTAAAAAATTTGAGTTGACAATAAAAAACACAAATGCAATTTATTTTACAATTGCATTGATGGAGGTAGGAGATGGGTGGGCGAAATGGCGGCATTTAAGTGGAGATGGAGTCCAGACACCGGTCAGTGGGTCACGGGTCATCCAGCCGCGACGGAACCGCAAAGGTTGTCCCAACTCCTACCAGTTTTATGTGTAGGTGAGTGAGACCGTGAGAGGAATTGCTGCAGCAAAACTGCTGCTGTTTTGAACTACTCTCCTCAATTCTTCAACGTACATACTTACCATCCGCCGCGGCTTTCTTCAGTTCCAGAAAAAACAAAGGTTCGTATCTAACTACTCCACCTCTCTGTCTCTACCCTGTTCAAAATTCAAGCTTTTGATTAAGATTTCTGGTCCTAGCAGGCCCCAATGGACCCATTAGGGCATAGCAGAAGCCAAAATGAAGTTGAAGGGGATCTTCTGGAGGAAGGCCTAGATGAGCTCCAAGTCGAGCAAGTAAGCAATTTTCTCATCCCTTATATCGCTGAGAGGGTTTCTTCGTTCAAGGAAACCTTGGAGAAAACCTATTGCTGATTTGATTTCTTCTTCTGTGTTCAGAGGATGAGGACGAAGAACATAGTTTCCGTTAGCAGTCAAAAGATGGAGCAGGCGAGAATAAAACCCAGTACTCCTTTTGTTTTTATTTCACTATTGTGCTGTGTTTCTTCTCGTGCGTTCAATATAGAGTTCCTTTACTAGCAGCTAACTAATTTGTTAACATTTGACAGGATGGAGGAGTCGACAGTTCCCCTACCACCAAGTCTACAAGGTAGACACAGTTGCTACATCGATCGTCCTTCTTTAACTTTCAAATTGCTTGCTGGGTTTATAAATTCCTAATGTTGGGAGCTGCTGTTTCTACTTTTCTCAGCCAGAAGAGGAGAAGGAAGACGACGGAGAAGAAGAGTTTGTACGACATTGACCACCGAGTTAAGGATACTGTAAAGGGGAAAGCGAATGAAATTGACGCCAGTCTCAAAAGAAACGATCCTACCTTGATCACCACAACCAAGCTCATGTCGTGCACTGACCTCGCTCCTGGCGCCTCTAGCATGGTACTTGTCGATTCGCTCTGCTGCTGGGTGAAACTGAGAATGCAATCAGTCCATGTTCTTGATTTTGATATAACAATCCGGATTCCTTTCTTAATGTGACAGAAACTACCGAAAAAGTTCTGCAATGAGCATATGCCAGAGGGTAAAAAGTCGTTCTGGGTGAAAGTAGGAAATGGGGAAGATTTCCTTGTTGACTACAACGGGGGTACTCGCGCAATTAGTGGAGGGTGGAAAGCTTTCGCCTTTCATCACAAATTAGAGGTCGGAGATGCTCTGGTTTTCCAACTCATCCCTCCATCCCAATTCCAGGTACGCGATGTTCAATTTGATAGGAGAAGTTGGGGTACCAGAAAGTTCAACAACCAAATGTGGCCTATTATTATTTTGGAAATATGGCTCTATCTTCTTTCGAGTGAAGGAATTTGGTAATTCTGTCGTTTGGATGGCTGGTTCAAATGAATGAATTCACAGTCCGAAATCTCTATTTTCAATTCACTCCAACTTACAGAACATAATCTTACAATAACCTCACCCAAATCAACCATTTTGATGATGAAATTTTCCTTATCTACCCAGGTTCACATTGTGAGGGCAAATGCTTCTAAGGAAGTGGCTAACGCCTCAGAAGAAGTGGATGCTCAGCGCCTCCTGAAGTTGAATGCTATTCAGCATGGTAAGTTCTTGGTATATATAAATTTTCGCCTAATATTTGGTTGTTAATTGCCAAGTGAAGCGTTGAATGTCGTTGTGTGTTTGGTTTTAAACAGAGCCAAGCTCCTTAACAAGAGAAACTGAAGAAAACAATGACACCAATGATAGCTTACTGGACCACGAGGAAGATCACAACCACAATAATGTGGGCAATGATGATGGAGGTGGTAATGGTTGGTTGGGGCCAGATATGTGTTTTGAAAACCTAAGTGATAGTAATACAGACATGGCAGGACCTATTGTTGATGATTTCGAACGGGTGAAACGCTTCCAAGACTTCAAAATTGTGGCTAATGGTTCAGTTATCAATGACAAAGTTTCTGAGCTCCATCTATCCAAGTACCATAACCTGTGCCTTAGCCAGAGATCTTTTCTGCATCGAGACCTTCTTGAGGGATTCAACGTCTGGACCATTGCCGGAACGATTATTGACATTTGTGACATAGCAGATGCCATCAGGGCAATGTCGAAGGTAGTCCCGAAGAAAGATTTGCAGACTTGGGGCAGCAAGTTGAAAGTATATGAGAAGATGGGGGTGAATGTTGGTTTCCTACTTGTTCGATTGAGGAAGCTCGAGTTGCTTGCTGACAAGGCAAATGGGTACGAGAGGCTGATGAAGGAGAGAGATGGTATGAAGGAGGAGCTGCAAAATTTGGAGGAGCAAGTTGGGAGAGTGAAAGAAAAACTGGAACGGGTTGAGAAGGAGATTGATAAGCTAGGAGTTGTGGGTGGCGGTAGTATTGACCGTGACTTCCAAGAGTTGGCAAATGCGCCTTGGTGATGGAAGGTTGAAGGGAGGAAGCTGGTCTCTTTTGGGGGGCGTTTTGTACATGGACTGTGCATGTCGCTTTGGGTCCAGGATTTTGTGTAGTCTGGTAAGGTAAGGAAGTTGTGCGGCCTAAGTTCAGGTCCTTAAGGCCTCTTTTTTAAGGAGGAACTTAAAGCCTTCTGATTGGCTTACTCAAGATTAGGTAGTTAGTAGGGAGTTATTAGTTTAAAAGTTGTTAGGGGTATTAAGGAGAATATAATTAAATTAAAACATGCGTATTTTTTTTTCCAAAAACCCTAACCCACTGCTTTTCGTCGGTTTATTATTCCTCCCGCAAGAAGAACGACCGTCCGTCTCCCCGACTTCTCCGGCTGTCGTCCCAACTTCTTAGTCCGTTGTCCGGTCGTCCCTTCTCCGTCCCGAGTCCATCAGCCGTTGTTTCTGTCTCCCTCCCGCTGAGATTTCCGGCAAAGGACAGCAGCCAGTCATCGTGCCGACGATTTTGTCCCTTTTCCGTTGTTTCCGTCCCTTCTCCTTCGCAAAGCCTTCGCAAAGCACAGCAGCCCTTCTCGGTCAGCCGACGATTTCGTCCCTTCTTCCATGCGGACGATTCCCTCCCTTCTCGGTCAGCCGTTGTTTCCGTCCCTTCTCCGTCGCAAAGCACAGCAGCCTCTCGGCGGCGGCAGCAGCCTTCGCAAAGCACAGCAGCCGGCCAACGATTCGAGTTCTCCATCCCATTGCTGCAACGTTGAAAAATTAACAAAACTATTACCTTTAATTATTAACAACTACTCACTTCATTATTAATCTTCCCTTATCCGATTATTAACCTAAATCCTTTAATTATTAACAATTTTTATTTCGTATTTGCGGGGTTTTAGCGTTGCATGGGATTAGGGTTTTGGCGTTGCATGGGAGGAGTAGTCTCTGCACAATAGTAGGTCGTTTTTAATTTATTTGGTGTCTATTATTAATCATTTTGTGGGCATTCGCAGTCTTTTTTGTGTAAATTATTAATCAATCTGAGCTCGTTGTGTATCCATTGTTAATCAATCTGAGCTCGTTTATAATTTATTTTGGCATCTACTATTCATCATTCCGTGGGCGTTTATAAATTGTGTTGTGTATCCATTGTTAATCAATATGTGCTCGTTCTCAACTCTTTGTTCTCTATTATTAATCAATATGTCATGCAAGTAAATTATTTGTGTCAATCAATCTGTGCACGTCAATTTTTCCGTCTCCAATTTTTATTTCATATTTGTGAGGTTTTTCGTCGCGTCGATGAATTATTAATCATTCCTCTCGGATTAATAACCTTTACTTATTAAAGCATTCAATTTGTAATAAAAAAAATTCCGTCTTTATTAATCAACTATTTTAAAATTACTATTCCAAAAAGACATTGAAGATTAACATGCAAATTACATTATTAACTCGCACACTTTAATTATTAACCATGTCCCTTCTAGGATTAGTAACCTAAAACGACAATGAAATTCTTCATGCAAAGTTTACTATTAACCTAAACACTTTAATTATTAACAACTACCGCATGAATTATTAATCATCCCTCTCCGAGTAACTTTTACTTATTAACCCATTGAATTATTAAACATGTCCTTTTTAATTAATAATTTGAAACAACTAACAATTTACGTGCAAAGTGGATTATTAATTTAAACACTTCAATTATTAACAACAAACACAAGCATTATTAATCAACAAATACGACCTTATTAATCGTGTAAAAAAACCATGTGACAATTATTTACATTTTTTGCTGACGCTACTATTAACATTTCAATCATTAACTATTAATCAACAAATACGACCTTATTAATCATGCAAAGTGGATTATTAATTTAAACACTTCAATTATTAACATTTTATTTGCTGACGCTACTATAGTTATCAATAAAAAAGGTGATTTAATAGTCGTGTTGTCAACATTGTTAACCTCCACGACTCTATTATTAATTGTATTACTGAAATTATTAACAGGTAACTAAAATCATGTGACAATAAGGGGAGCCTCTGAGTTGAGATTTGTAGAGCAACGTAACAGAGTTGTCAATGCTGTCAACAATACATATTAGTTTTTTCACATACGTTATTAACATTTTCTGGTGATGCTATTATTAACGTTCTCAATCAAATTGAAACGTGATTTATCAATCATGTTGTAAACATTATTAGCCTACCACATCATTAATATTAATCAGATCATCAGAATTATTAACCAGTAACTAAAATGTTGTCACAATAAGATTAGCTTCTAATTTGAGGTTTTTAAAGCAACGTAACTGAGTTGTCAACGTTTTAACAGTTTATATTAGTGTTTTCGCCTACATTATTAACATTTTTAGTGACGCTATTATTAATGTTCTCAATCAAATTGAAACACGATTTACTTGGGTTGTAAAAATTTAAGTGACGCTATTATCAATTTTTAGCTCAGTATTGTTAACAATATACAATATCATTATTAATATTTTCTACATAATTTAAAACAAATGAAAAATTCATTATTAAGAATTTCTTGTCATTTTTCAACGTAAACAATAATATTATGAACTAAATCCGCCTCGACACATCTTCTCCTCCTTCTGCAAAAGCTTCCGTCAGGAGGAGTGACAGCGGGAGACCGGCAAGTTGGGGGCGACGACCGGATGGGGAGATGTCGGATGGCAACGAGACGACGACGGAGTTAGGCAGGATGCGGCTGGATGGGAACGAGGAAGATGACGGGAAATTAACGGCATGATGGCGTCGTGACGACGGGAAGATGGTGACCTGACGACGTGTCCACGGGACGCCGACGTCGGGATGGCAACGAGACACAAACGTCAGGATTGCTGACGAAGCTTGGTTGTCGGGGAACGGGACGACGGGTGTTGCCGAGTCTCCGAATGGTGTTCGAAACGAGCTTCGCGCCGAGTGGATGCCGACGACGAGAAGGTTTAGGGTTAGAGAGGACAACCGTCTTTCGATAATGGCTTCTGCCGTCTCTCAATAAATCATGGGTTTAATTTTCGTTTTTCATTTTAATTATTATTATCATTAATGTTTACTATATTCCTTTCTTGTCCTTCTAGGTAGTTAGTCAATAATTAGTAATGTTTTTATCTCTCCTCTTCCTATTGACTAGAATAGGTTTAAGATTTTCCTTAAAGAATGGGGGTTAAGGACCTGATCCAACCCGAAGTTGTGCTAAGCTTAAAATAGACTGTTAATTTTGAGGAAGTGAATACGTGGGGAACTTTCGTAGATTGGAGTTCTTTGAAGAACTTGGCGGGCGTTTGGGTACTTTTTTTTTTGGTAAATAGCAGTTTTGGTACTCTTTGTATATTGCTACTAGCAAAATCCCGCTCTCTATCGTTTCGCGTACTCTTTGTACTCTTTGAAAAACTATTAGAATTACTTTCTAATATAAGAGGTAATGTAAAATGTTAAAACAAAATCAAATATAATACAAATTCTAAAAATAAAAAAATATTTAAAATAAATCACATTAGATTTATTTTATATTAAATAATACTATGTTTCAATTAATTTTTTTATAATGATATAAATTAAAGAAAAATATGTTTTCTAGAAAAAGAATAATATATGGTAAGGACAATTTTGTATTTTCAAATCGGAGCTTCTGAGTTTAAATTACAAAAAAAACTTTAGTTTTTAATAATAAAATTTTGCAGGTGTTTGTCTTGGCTTCAATTTTTGAAACCTAAAATTTCTAAAATTCGGGCCAAACATAGTCGTACTCTTTTGTTTTTTTTTTCTTTTTCTTTTTTCGGTTTGAGGTAATCAAGGTTATCCTTTATAAAAATTTTGGACTGATTGCAGGTTTGAGGAGGTTCAACTCGCATTGATCGGGTCAAATTAGCTTGGATACCCATGGATTTAGGTTCAATTGTCTTTCTCAAACAAATGAAAAAAGCAAAATGAAAAACACTAAAGTTAAAACTCGCTATTGGCTCAAAACTCGTCAATATCATATTCAACTTGTTTTGACCTGGTAGAATCATGTTTTGGGCAAATTCACACCTGACATAACCCGCCAATTACAAAAACAGATAAAACTACTCCCACCGAAAACCTGGAAAACGGGTTCTCGCTTTGGTCAGGTCAAATTAGGTTGTATACCCATGCGTTCAAACTCAATTTTCATTCTCAACCAAAAGGAAAAAGATATAAAAAATACTAAAGCGGATAAAACTCGCTCATGACCTCAAACTCTCAACATTGCTTCAACTCGCTTTAAAAGGGTCGACCCAGTTTTAACAAATTCACAATTTACTCAACCTGTCAATTACAAAAGCAGATAAAACTCGCTCTCGATGCGAAACACGTCAACAATGGGTATGAGTTCAATTGTCATTCTCAACAAAAAGGAAATGAGAAATAAAGAAGCATTAAAGCGTACAAAACTCGCTTTCGATCTAAAACTGGTCAACCACGTTTTCAACTCGCTTTGATCAATTTTTTAACAAATTAACACTTGGTCCAACCTGCCAACTACAAAAGCGGATAAAGCTCACTCACAATACAACACTTTGGGTTCAATTTTCTTCCCAACCTAAAGACAAAAAAGAGAAATTTATAAATGGTAAAGTCGGTTTCAAGTCGCTTTGACCAAGGTTGTCAAACGCCTATCGGATCCCCGGTTGAACCCGGTTCGAGTGTCCGACCTAAGTCGGGCTTCAAAACGGCCTCCAAAAAGCCCCACGGTTTGACCCCTAAAGAGAGAGAAGAAGAGAGAGGGAAGAGAGAAAGAGGAACGAAGGAAGGGAGATAGTGGGTGGGTAATGGAGGTTAGGTAGATTTAAGTTGTGGAAAATAAGTTTTTAATAGATACATGTAAGATAAATTCAATGTTCAAAAAGACGCTAGGCGCTATCTCTATATGCTTTGTTCGTTCATGGAATACAAGATTTTCTGCAATATAAATTGCAAATTTGTTGTCACAGAAAATTGGTATAGGTAAAGGTAGCTTCACTGTCAGTTCTCCCAACGGCTGTTTCAGCCACTGCACTTCACATACAATGTGAGCCAATGCCCAGTATTCTTCCTTAGAAGAGGATCTTGAAACTATTGTTTGCTTTTTTGTTCTCCAAATCATAATGAATCACCAAAGAATGTGCAATAGCCAGTAGTTGATCTCCTCGTATCAGGACAACTAGCCCAATCTGAGTCATAATATCATGTCAGCTTCATTTCATTATTACTGCTGAAGTGTATTCCCTGACCTAGTGCAGACTTTAAATACCTCAATACTCTATGGGCAGCTTGCGTATGTTCTTGACAGGGATTTTTCTGACACTGACAAAGTTGTTGGACAACAAAAGCAATGCCTGGCCTGGTAATGGTCCGATAATGCAATCTCACTATAAGCCTTCTATAGGCTTCTCCATCTTCTAGAGGTGACCATTGAGCAGTAAGTTTCACTTTGATATCCATAAGTGACTTGCATCCTTTAGATTCCAAGTAACATGTGTCCTTCAAAAGTTCCACACAGTATTTTCTTTGACATACATCCAGACCACTTCCACTTCTCACAACTTCCAAACCCAAGAAATACTTCAAGGGTCCTAGTATTATATCATCTACCTAAACCAGTAGGATGACCACCCTATCATGCACCCACTTTGAGAAAAGAAAATAGTCAGAAGTTGATTGAGCAAAACCATTTTTGAGAAGAAAACCTGCAAGTCTAGCAAATCACTGCCTAGAGGCTTGTTTAAGCCCACATAATATGACTTCTTCAACCTGCAAACCAGATTCTTTCCTTATGGATTAGAAACTTCAACCCCTGAGGGCATCTTCTTATACACCTTCTCATGCAACTCGCCATGTAAAATGTATTTGAAACATCCAATTGCTCTAAAACCCAATTCTTGACACTTGCTACTGCCAAGAGAGGTTTCCCTGTGTTGATTTTGGCAACTGGTGAAAATGTGTCCAAGAAGTCTATTTCATAGACTTGGTTGAAACCTTTAGCTACAAGCCTTGATTTGCATCTCTCCATGGTACCATATGATCACTACAAGAAAAACATGATTTAGTGTCGGTTGTGTTGTGTCGGTTCACTTAACCGACACTAAATTCTATATTTGCGTCCGAAATTTGTGTAGGTTATTTAACCGACACAATGTTTGGTGATTTTGAGTATGTTTAGTAGAACCGACACAAAATTGTGTGCTTTTGAGTCGATTTCTCCATAACCGACACAATTTTTTTGGTGATTTGAGTCGGTTTAAAGGATAACCGACACAATTTTGATTTGTTTTCATTTTGAATTTGTGGCGGACAGATTTTGGTTTCTTCAAAATTTCATTTGGACGGACAAATTTGATTTAGGCCCAAAATTGGGACGAGATACGGTGACAACTCCTAAGGGGGTTGTCAGATTCACAACCCACTTCATAGCCCTTGGATACGCTCTCTCTCCTGTCTCTTTCTTCTTTTTTTAAATTAACGGTTAAGATTAAAGGAAGGATATTTTTGGAAGGGTAAAAATTTACCACACCCAATCATTCACCCTACCATATAAAAAGAACAAAAACCCTAACTCCTCCATCCTCCCTCTCTCCCGTAGACATCGCCATCTCTCCTCCCCCTCTCTCCGCCGCCACAGCCCTCCCACCACCGCCGCCAAATTCAGAACCCATCACCCAATGGCGATGATGAATTCACGAGCTGAAGATCAACCTCACTCCCAGTAAACCGCCATGGATGAGATCTCATCCCCATCACAGCAGCAGCTGCAGCAGCTTCCCATAAGCCGCGCCGCTGTCCTCCCCCCGCGCCCCGCCCCGCCCGCTGTCCTTCCCTGCCTCCCTCTATCCTCATCCCTATTTTTTTCCAGATCTGATAGTCTCTACCGGTACCAATACCACTGGTAGCACTATTGGTTCCAATACCACTGGTAGCGCTATTGGTACGCTACCACTACTCACTGGTACCAATACCAGTGGCTCCCCTATCATCTGGTACCACTATCATTTTTTTTTTTTTGTTATTCGCTACTGGTACCGCTAACAATGCTAGTGGTATCGCTACCAATGCTAGTAGCGTTGTGTTATTCTCTACTGATAGCGTTGTACTGGTAGCGTACCACTAGTACTGGTACATTTTTTACTGGTACCGCTAATACTGGTACATTTTTAAACGTACTGGTAGCGTACCACTAGCACTGGTATATTAATTACTAGTAGACTAATAGATTGGTACACTTTTTAAAGCATTGGTACATTTTTTCAGGTTGCCGGAGGGAGTCTGCCGGAGAGAATTCGCCGGAGAAAAAGTTTGCCGGTCGATGCGGAGTGGCTGCTGGAGAAAGGAAGAGAGAGAGATAGATAGAGATATTAATGTATAGGATTTAAATTTCAGAAAAAATTGTATTTAATATGGGTTTTTAATTCCCAATATAATTAATACAAAGATGGTAATTAATATATTCCTTTTTTTCATACCCAAAATACCATTGGTTGTGAATCTGATAACCCCAAGAAGGTTGTCACTGTATCCCGTTCCCCAAAATTTCATACGGGGAAATGAAAAATTTCGCTCCTTTTTTCGTTTACCCACCACCACTCCACCTCGCTATTTCTTCCCCAAACCAGTCTCCATCATCTCTTTCAATTGAAACCAACTGCCTCCTCCCTGTGCTTCTTCCTTCCCGATTCCTTCTTCCATTTCTCTTCTCCTTCTTCTTCCAATCTTCCATCTACGTTCAGTTAGCTGAGACACCAGCTGCCTCCCTCTCTTTATTCCTCCATCAGCATCACTCCCAATCTCCTCCCTGAATCTCGTATCAACCCTCTCCATCTTGAAAAACCATGTCCACCCAATTGGACCACGGTGGCGCCGATCCCAGCTCCACCTCGACGCCGCCACCAACACCTACTCTATCGTCGCCTCCCCATCGCCTTAACTCAAATCCTGCAGTTCAATGTCGCCTCCACCATCGACATTGTCACCAGCGTCGCCGCAGATGGAATCGAGAAGTTCTCTATCCCGTCGCACCAGCTGGTCATCGAGCACGAGAAGGACAAGAACCCATGGGCCACAAACCCAAACGTCGACGCCGAGCTTTTCTCATGCTTCCTCCGCTGTGAATGTCGTCGCTAGGGATCTCGCGGTTTGGGTGTGCGCTATCTGGGTTTTCTTTCTAGCATCACGATCTAGGGTTTGCTTGAACTGGATTTACCTTCCCGTGTTCTCGATTTGGATATGGGTTCTGATTTTTCCTGTGTCACAATCGGGTATCAGCTATAGGGGAGAAAGGTCACGATTTGGGGCAGAAAACACTCGATCTGGAGAGGGCGGTGTAGGATGTTGAGAGAATGGAGGGAAATCAGTCGGCGACGGGTATGGGCAACGAGGCGATGATGAATCTGGCTGTGGCGGCTCTGGGTCTGCCGGTGAACACGACGACTTGGAATTTTTAAAAATTTTTTTTTTATAATTAGAGTCGGTTATTACTCTAAACCTGAAATTTAATTAAGAAATGGTGTTTTCTAATATACAAGTTGTGTCGGTTATTAACCGACGCAAATAGCATTCATGTCGGTTACTCTAGCGGTTGCCCAAAACCGACTCAAATTTGATTAGTGTCTGCAGCTTTTGTGTCGGTTAAGTGAACCGATACAAAAAATATTCATGTCGGTTATAACCGACACAAAACATATAAAATAACCGACATTAAATGGGTGTTTTTTGTTTTGGTTGTACCGTACTGTCACAACTCCGATTTCCGGCTTTTGCAGTTGTACCGTCCGGCACGACACAGTTTCCTGTACCATGCAAACGATGCTCCAGAAAGAGGAACCGCTGACTAAGCCAACCAATGGTCTTCTTTAATTTTATTGCGAAAGAGAGAGGGGAGAAAGGTCTTTGTGGAGAATGAAAAAGATGGATAATGGGTAGGGGTGGGCAACGGGAAACGGGTATTTAGGTATACCCATATCCGTCCCATATTTTGAGGGTTATGGATACCTAAATACCCGTTTCATTTTTAACGGGATGAAATTTGGGATCAATGTTTTCTACAACGGGTAGATATTGCCTCTGCCTTCGAGGACCCCTTAGCTTCTTCACTTGGGCATCATCCAAGAACATTCCAAGAACATTTGCTTCCGTCAGGGAATGTAATCTATCTTGTAAATGTTGGTCTAAACATTTAACAATAAAGCTCATTTGTTTCCTTTATTCACTTCGGCAACTTCTATTAATTATAAGCCAAACTAAAATCCAAATCCAGACGTATAAGATTCCTATATAGTGTATGTATTTGTGGGGTTAGGAATTAGGATAGAGCCAGAGGGTTGGTGTGTGGAAAATAGTGTTTAGTCGAAAAGAAGGATTGGGACACGATGAGAGAGTGGGGAGCAGTGAACTGCACTCAAAGAAAAACAATGTGTACTGATCGAACTTGTCGACAGGTCGTTGGCGAACATTTTAGTTGAACGGGTATGTACGGGTAGTTTGGGTACCCATTATCCGTCCCGTACGGGTAACGAGTACCCGTTAACTTTTATGGGATGGGACATAGGATGAACTTTACTCTACAAACGGGATTCGGTACCCGTTTCAAATGGGACGGGTATCCATCCCTTCCCGTTGCCCACCCCTAATAATGGGAGAGTTGATTGCACAAAAAGTGAGAAGAAGGGTCTATGCGGAGAATGAAACGGAGAGAGGAGGAATAACATCATAATCCAACAACTAATGTTAGCTACACAACTAATTAATCAAAGGTTATGCTTGGCCTGCCCAAAGAGGTATCCATGGGTTTAAGCTAGGACTGCTGCAGCTGATCATTGCGTCTCCGTGAATATCAGTTCGAAAATTTCGTAATGAACAGTAACTCCGAATTTTTTGGAACTTGGGTCTTAATAATTCTAGTAATAATAATTTACCCTAACAAAAAAGCTATCAAAACTTAAAAAGTTCCGTTCATGTGATGTGATGAAAACATTTGTAAGAAGACTAAGATATTTCTCTAATATATGTAAATTATTTTCCACTAGGTAATCCCCTTTGCATCTCAACCTAAATTTGTTTCAAATCCTTTCAACCCCTTGACACCTAATTGAATACATGATGATTTCCTATCAATTCCCAAACAGGCTAATAAGCTAATAGGAGATTTCTTTTGGTAAGCTGATTAGTAGATCAGTAGTGTAGTGATGAGAACTGAATAAACAGGCAGGGAATTCAAAGCCTTGGCAATTGACATCATTTTTAGCTCATAAACCTGCTACAATCACTCTGGTTCTGTATTATTAAAAAAAAAAAAAACACTCTGGTTCTGTCCCACTATTGGCAGAGTGACTAACAGTTGAGTTTATGTATTAAAAAATGATTAATCAATTCATTTTGATTAAAGAAATAGATTAATTACCAGAAGATGGTAGAAATGAGAAGAAACGTCCTATAAGAAAAAGAGAGCGAGAGAGAGAAGAAACGTGTGTATAGTGGTGGGAACTGGGAACCCAAAAGGCAGTTATTTGTTTGGGATTATATGAGCATCCCATCCGCCGCCATTAAAGCTTTTACCCTCCTTTCATCTCCTCTGTTTTTCGTGTTTCCTTTCGGCAGAGGATGAAGCAGGAGGATGAAGTCGACAATTTTCCGATCCGCCCTCGACGGTAATATGACTGTTTGTTTCATCGTCATTAACTTAGTCCAAATGCTGGGTGGTTTAACGTTTCTGATTCCACCACCTTTTATTTCTATTTGGATGTCCCTGATTCCAGTACCATCCCTTTACTCCGCGAGAAGAGGAAGACGAAGGTGACAGTAGCTAGTTTATACGACAATGCCCAGATTATGGGTGCCATGAAGAGGAAGGCCAAGGAGATTGAAGCCAATCTTAAGAAGACCCATCGTCAATGCCCTACTTTAATCAGGCTCTTGATGCCTTCCCACCTTGCTCCTCGATTTAAGCTGGTAAAGTTTACAACAATGAACTGTGTCTTCCTGATGCTCTTCTTCTCTTGTCAATCGGTAGTAAAGTCTAGCGAATGCATGCATTGTGCTCTGATTGATTCGTAGAACGATCTGGAATTTCATGGGTGACAGCGGCTACCCAAAAGATTCTGCTATCGGAATATGCCACTTGCGGATAAACAGATCAGGTTGGAAGGCGAAAAGGGAAGAGTGTTCCCCGCCAGCTATCTCCACCGTGGGCTAGTAATCGCTGGTGGGTGGAAGGCCTTCGCCGTTGATCATGGCCTAGCTGCTGGAGATATTCTGGTTTTCCAACTTGTCAAGCCATTGAATTTCAAGGTAATTGCCTTTGGATTCAAGCTTTTGCCCTAATTTCGTTAGGGGTATGATTCGGAGTAGATGTTCAAATGGGTACTAGAGAAGTTTGGATATTAGAAGCTCCTCCAGTTGTGGTTTTTTGGAGAATGTGTGCTTCGTAATAACTATGTGGAATTACACTTTGTTCACAGGTCTACATTGTGAGGGTGAATGCCGTTAAGGAAGTGGATGTTATTCAGTCTGGTAAATTTCTACTATATGTGCTGTGGTTGTTGATTGCTGAGTTCAGTAATGTATTGAATGAATGTCTATTGTGTTGGGTTCATGTAGAAGCAGCTGGGACTTCAATAGTGGAATTTGAAGATAGTAGTGAGAACAATAGCTTAATGGATGACGACGACGAAGATGATGATGATGTTGGGTTTGAGCTGGATCCGGGGATTGAAAGTGGAACAGATAGTAACATGGAGTTGCTGAAATCCAATGCTAATAATAACTTTGAACGAGTGAAGTGCTTCGAGGATTTCAAGATAGTGGCAAACGGTTCAGTCATAAGTGGCAAGCTGCCCGAGCTGATTCGATTCAAGTACTACCAACTGTGCCTCAGCCAGAGATCGTTTCTGCACCGAGACCTTCTCAAGGGGCTGAACGTGGGGATCATCAGCGGAATGATTGCTGACATCTGCGACATTGCAGGTGCCATCAGGGCGATGTCGAAGGTGGTCCCAAAGAAAGATCTGGAGACGTGGGGCAGCAAGTTGAAAGGGTTCAAGGAGCTGGGGATGAACGTCGGTTTCCTGCTCGCTCGACTGGGGAAGCTCGAGTTGCTTGCTGATAAGGCAAACGGGTACGAGAGGCTGATGAAGGAGAGAGGTGGTATGAAGCAGGAGCTGCAGAATTTGGTGAAGCAAGCTCGGAGGGTGAAAGAGAAACTGGAACTGGTCGATAAGGAGATTGTGAAACTTGGGGTTGCCGGAAGTGGTAGTGTTGAGAGTGACTTCCTGGAGCTGGCGAAGGCGCCTTGGTGATGGAAGATTGAGGAGAGGAAGTTGGTCTGTTTTGGGGGTGTGTAAGTCGTTTTGGGATCTACATTCTGCGTAGTCTGTTTAGGTTTAACATAGACTGTTAACATAGACCGTGGTTTTGAAGCGCTGAGGTGAATGGAAGATTTGGAGTGCTTTGTATAAGCATTTAGCGGGGGGTTTTGGTGCTCTTTTGTATATAGCTACGTGTGGAGCCATAGATGAAATGTAAATATTAGCTTCATCTTACGCCTCTTTGGTCTTTATGCAAGTTGACATATCATCCACTGTCTGATAGTCGTACAACTTTACCTACAGACGTGGTAGAACGACCAAATAATCAATTAACTTGAAAATGTCCTATGAGAACTTAATTGAGTGGGAGAGTATAATATTGAAGAATCGAAAAGTAGAAACAAATAATAGAAAAATGAATATTAGATAGGAGAAAGTGATAAATATTTAGTTTAAAGTTAAGCATGTTACAAACTAATAATGAATTATTTACTTCATTTTTTTCTTTTTACTGTTGTTGACTTGTGCCTTATGTAGTTAGTGTTAATAGTAAGAGGTATAAGCAATCTCATATCTCTTATTCTCTAGTACAAAGAATGAGTTCTTTTATATAATTAAAGCCTAATACATTAATTTGAATTATTTGGTTATATAAAAGAACATATAATTAGATCGAAATAATAACACGTCACTGTTGGCATTTTGTATAGCCAAATAATTCAAATAGTTTCACTTTTGAAGAGACCTAGAGAAATAAAACGGAGGACAAAAATGACATTTTCTCTCTCAATTACTGATGTCGGGTCGTCTAAATCTCGGTTCAACCATGATTGACGATTTTTTCAATGAAAATTTCAACAAAAGGGCATGTTTGATAATTTTTCAAAGTACAGGGACATATTTGATGTAAAAAATAATAAAGGAGCATATTTGATAAAACGTCATAGTAAATGGACATATTATACCTATAACTACATTAATTACTATTTTTAAAATTTATAATTAGAACCCAATACTCTATAAAAATAATTAACATTATACATCATGGAGGCTCCCCATAATTTAGAGGCCTTGTGAGGGAAGACCTTCCCGCACACCCACACGGTCGGCCCTGCTGCCCGCCTAGCGACCGCGAGTGAGCCTTTACCAGCTCTACACCTCTGCCCGTCTATCGTTTGTTGCAAACTTGCAATCGATCGTCGATGTCAGTCCTCAAGTACCAATCTCGGTCCTCAATGGAAAGAAGGATTCACTAATTAATATTTACAACAGTGGGATGAGAGATTCCAATCCTAAAAACAAAGATAAAGTAGGGACGATGGGACCTGTATGTAGTTATGTACAACACTACTGATTTGGGTGGGATGGGAGAGAACGACGGGTGTAAATGAAAATATAGGGGTCGTTTGGATGCAATATTCTCATGAGGTATTTGTACCCAAATAACTTAGAATGAGTTAATTGGGTTCAAATAACTTGTTTGGACAATTGTTTATGACTTGGGTTAATTTGTGGGTGGTTATTTACAAATAATCCGTAAATGCGGTAATTGAAATAACAGGGGGGAGGGCTGTTATTTCTGAATAACGCGTTCCTGCTTTTTTTGTGTACCCATCGTGTCCCTGGCCCCACACGAAGCATCTCTCGAGACTCCTTTACTCTCTCTTCTCCTTCTGCTTCCTTCTTCCGTTTCCCATCATCGTTATCCTCTCTGCTAGCAAACCCATATCCTCTCTGCCAGCAAACCAGGAAGGCAAAGTTCACGATTTCTCCGCCGGCGTCGATTTGATACACTCGAAGTTGTTCTGTTCAACCAGGGGTGAACCGCCGCCCAGGTTAGTGTTTCCTCTTGTCCTTTCATGTTGTTGCTCAGGATTCCGATTTAGGGCTTGATATATTGTTAACTGAGATTTGCGATCTCTGTGTTAAATTTATTTCTGGTTTGCTCCTCCTCAACTCTCTATCCCCTCTCTGCAAAGAATAAAGCTTTCGGATAAAAAAAGCAAGAAATCGTTGATTGTTTTCTATGGGCAAAAGTTTCTATCGCAAAAAGTATGAACTTTGGGTACATGTTGATCTTAATTATTGGGTTTCATCCTATTGTTTCGTTTGTCTTTTAGAAGAAAGGAAAGCAACTTGCTTTCCTCCAACATTATTCTTTATTCCATTTGTTTACAAACCAACATTCGGATGGTATATAATTAGAGAGTTTTGGTTTCTTGACTTAGATTGATAATTAGGTTTTTATGCGTACTAGATAGTGATATGTTTTGGGAAACTAATTCCCATAGTTTTGCTTCTCGTGTGCATTGTTTAGTCCATTTTGACTTTAGGGTGTTTGAGAAGAGGTGATCCACTGATCGATAGAATTCAGTATTAGGTTGTTTTTCGTTGCTGCTGTGTTTTATATTTAGAAATCATTCTGATACTTCTCTTCATTTCTGTCTTCCAAAGGATGTCTCGTTTGTCGACATTGAACCCGACTCGTAGGCGGCAAGTGCTTGCTGCAATTAGCTCCTTTATGAATCTTATAATGATTTACGTTAGTCTTGGGATGGAGTTGGCTGGTAGGCTGTCAGCTAAACGACACTTGCAGCCAAGACTCGGTAGGCAACCCTTAGACACCTACTTGGTTAGGCACTACGATAGGCAAAGGCACCTTAGAAATACAACCAAAATCAGTGACACTTATACCTTCGATCAAATCAGGATGAATCGTGGGTTATTTAGAAGGTTTTGCGAGGTTCTTACTGTCCAAGGAGGGTTGAAGAAAACTAGGAACGTAGACATTGATGAAATGGTTTATACCTTTCTACGCACCATTTCACATAATGAGAAAAATAGGACCTTGCAAGTTAATTTGAGACGGTCAGGGGAGACTATATCGAGGTCAATTCATCGTGTGTTGAAAGCTGTCATTAGACTGAACAATCAATTCATGAAGAAGCCGGTTCCCATTCCTACAAATGAGACCAGTAGTCGATGGAAACATTTCAAGGTCAAATCCATCGTTTTAATTTTATGGATTCACTTTTCATAATGAATTTATGTATTAATATACCCTTAACAGCTATGTTTTTGTCATTAGAGGTGCCTAGGTTCCCTAGATGGAACCCATATCGATGTCCGTCCTTTGACAGAGGACAAACCTAGATATCGAGATCGGAAGGGCCACCGCCCACCTAACCATGAATTCCTAGGTGTCTCCACTCCCAACCTGGAATTCGTATATTGTCTTGCTGGTTGGGAGGGCAGTGCTCACGACAGTAGGGTACTACAAGATGCCCTCACTAGACCGAATGGACTGAATGTTCCCCAAGGTAGTAACATTATACCTGTGATTATTAAAAGTCTTAACAACTCAGTCTTGCAAATCTAACCTTTAATAATCCAATATACTTTTCCCCTCTTAGGTAATTACTATCTTTGTGATGCTGGGTATGCCAACTGCCCTAGATTTTTGGCCCCATATAGGGGTCAAAGATACCATCTCAAAGAATGGGGTACTAGGCAGCCTGAAACAGCCGAGGAATATTACAATATGAAACATGCTGCTGCTAGGAATGTAATTGAGCGAATTTTTGGAATTTTGAAGATGACATTCGCGATTTTGAGGAAAGCTACTTGGTTCACTCCTAAAGAGGTTTCCCGGATAGTGATAGCTTGTTGTATAATACACAACTTTATCAAGGAAGAATATGGGGTAGACGAGATTGAGAGAACCTATCCAGATACTGAGCTCGAACAACATCCTTCAGCAGGCTTGGAGACCATTGAGGGAACCAGCATGCAACCAAGCGCGGCATGGACCCAATTTCGCAATGACAAGGCAACTTTTATGTGGGACAACAGATAGAGATCTTAGGCACTTGCTGTGTAATCGTGTTGTTTGTTCAATATGGTGTGTAATTAAATTTAGTTATCCTGCTGTTGGACAAGAATTCTCTACATGCTTGTTGTTCTATAAATTTTGGCATGTGCCGTTTTTTCCCCCCCGGAGAGATAGGTAGTTGTTGTTGTTGTAATTGAATTGGGGGTACCTACTGTTGTACGTGGGACTGTTGTAATATGATTCTGGTGTATTAATTGTGGTTGGTGAAATTGAGTGTGGTTGTTGGTATTAAATTGTATTTACTTGTTGTGGGTGCTTGAATCAGGGTAGTTTAATGCATGGTTCAAGAAACCGTATCGAAAGTCATATCAGACTCGTCTGTGGTAGGGTATTTTGTGGTAAAACCATGGTTCAACCATTGTGTATCGGTAAAATACCGTTTTAGTAATAAAAAATATTTTTTTATTAAAAAACCGTATCGACAACTCAGAATACTATTTCAGAGTAATACCGGAAGGAAACTGGAATATGTCGGATAACAAACCTAAATAACAAACAGAATTCCAGCCACAAACACCATAATTCAACCTACATATTTCCTTCCCCGGGCAGTAAGTATACAATAACAAATTGACAAATTAATGAATTATACAATAACAGAGCTCCCATTGAATTAACAAATTATAGATTAACATTCAATGGAATATCAATCAAGATGATACCCCAATTCTTCCCGTTCTCAATTGGTAGTTAAAACCCATCAAAATCAAGTAATCAAAACTCAAAATCGCTAAACGAGGCTTATCATGAACTTTGGCAGACAAATTCAAAATCCCTAGGCGATAACACTAACCTTCTTGAGTTATCTGTTATTAGGGGAGGGAGCTGAATTGGAGAAGACGATTAAGATGTTGTTGAATGGAGTTATGATGTCCTTGGTGATGATGATTCTGATGTTGTTGAGAAGGGCTGAGCTGAACTGGAGAAGACGAAGCCACGAAGGACGATCGAGACTCGAGACAGGGGATGAAGACTCGATGGCTCCAGCGAACAGAGACGACGAAGGGCGGTTTGGCCAGGGGAGGGAGACTCGGTGGAGTTTCTCGATCTCGTACTCCTCGTGGTCGCCAGAGGCAGGGCTGGCTGGAGCAGACGAACGACGGTCGAGCCAGGGGAAGGAGAGTCGGAGGCGTTCTCGGGCAGCCAAGCTCGCCGTTTTGCTGCCGTCACCGATCGCCAGACTCCAGAATCCAGATGTAGGGGTGAGATGGAGAAGAGGAGCAGCGGCGGGTTGAGAACTGGAGAGGAGAAGAAAGCTTCTTCGATTCGTGAATCGTGTTAGGGATTGGGTTGGCTTGCAATTGATTTTGGACAAGATTTTTGTTTTTTGTTTTTAAATTTTTTGTTTAATAAACAACGTCCTTTGAAACCAGGCCACCGCTGGTTGGAACAGAACCGGGCGGCATTCCCCTTCGTGCCGGTTGCACCGCCAAAACCGGCCGGCATGGTATTTCTGGCAGAAAATGCCTATCGTTCCGTTATTTGCCCGGTTCCCGGTTGTACCGACCGGTACGATTCGGTTTCCTGGACCATGGTTTAATGATGATTTTTCCATTTTGAGCAGGTTGTGTGTTGTTTACATTTAAGACTGCTTGTTAGTTGCCTGAATTGACTTGTAGCTATTGTTTTTATTAGGGTTGATTAATGCTTGAAATCAAAGAAGTATTGATGTTTTCTAGATTTCAGGCAATGGGGAGGAAGAAAAAGGTTCAAGGAGCCCCATGTGAAGCTGTCAAATCAGAGTACAACTCCTGGGATACAACGCATGATGGTCCGTTTCTGGAATGTTTGCTTGAACTTACTGAAAGGGGACTCATCAACAATGGGACTTGCAAAAACGGTGTGTTCAAAGAGTTGCAAAGGATGATGGATACCAAAGTGCCAGGTTGTGGCCTTAAAGCAAAACCAACTATCCAGAATAGCTATAAGAAACTCAAGCACTGGTACCATTCGACCGTCTTGATGAAGAATCAGAGTGGTTTTGGATGGGATGCGGAGAAGGAGTGTGTTTCTGCAGAAAAGGCAGTGTGGGATGTGTTCCTTGAGGTTTGTTTTCTTGTCTCCTTTGTATTCATGTTATGTCTATGGATTGGTGTTGTATTACTTATAGACTGTTTACTTCCTTTGTATTCATGGTATGTCTATGGATTGGTTACTATTTTTTGCAGCAAAACCCAACCTGCAAAACCTACAAAGGAGCGTCTTTCCCACAATTCTTTGATCTTGCACCAGTTTTTGCTAATGGGCGTTCCACCGGATTCGCAGGATTCTCAGGTATGTGTTGTTGTCTCGATTTTTCAATTATCTCCTATTTCCGGTTGGTTATAACACATATAGAGGCTGCAGGTAACGACCCGGAAATAATATCGGAAGGCGATGATAGTGGCACTGAGGATGATGAAGGCCCTCCTGTCCCTCTTGCTGAAATTGTAAACCCTGCAGTTGAAGAAGAAATGTTTAACATCATAAATGAGGGGGTCGAGGACAAAAATGTGAACAAGAAGAAGCGTCCTGCAAATACTCCAATGGGTGCACCACTTGAAAAGAAGAAGAAGAAGGTCCAGGGTGCACTGTCAGATGATACGGATGCTGAACTTGGGTCTGAGATGAAGTCACTGAGGCCCCTAATCCAACAATCTGTGGACACGATCGCTAAAGCAATGGGTGAGAGTGAGGAGCATGATAATATGCGGAAGGAGCTGAGGGGTAACTTGGACAAATTAGAGGGCTTGACCCGAGTTCAAAGGGTGCTTGCAGTTAGGATACTGAATGCAAACCCAACAGACTTGAAGAGTTTCTACGAGATGGACGATGAGGACAGACTAACTCTTATCCTCAGTCTCATCTAACTGTAGATGCCATTGTAGGATTAGTATCTTATTCAGTGTTGTCTAGTTTGCAAAGATCTATTTTGTATCTGTCATTCAGAAACACTTCAGATGACAGACTTTGCAAATTGGAGAATATATGCTTTTGTAAAGTGCGCATTAATGGTGTATAGTGCTGAAGTAGGATGACAACAAGGATTAGTTATGATGTGTAAATCCCTTTTGTAAGCACTGATAAAGTAATAGCTTAGTGAATGTTGTTGCTGTTAGTGTAATGAACAAAAATCCAGCAATGTTATGCTTTTTGAAGCTCCATAATGCAGCAAAGTGGAAGGAGCTGTTATTGAAAATCAATGACATTTGATGGTTTGCAGTATAATTATCATGATGTGGTTTCTTGGTTATTTGTCGAGTTTCGCTTACTTAAAGCTCTAGCGATTTATTTTGCTCAAGCGATTCATTCATCTGGGTAGATAACAACTCATACTTATATGCTCTTTGTTGTTACTTTTTCTGCAGGTTTACATAAAAGTTTCACCTAGATCGAATGCAGAAGAAGAAGCAGGCTGGTCTTGGAAGTTCGGACAATAGCTGTCTCGGGACATTTGCTAAACACATCGCCATTCACGACTCCCTCAAAGTACTCTCTGAAAAAACTTGTAGAGGAGGTAGAATTATTTTCTCGCCAATAGTAGTCTCTTTTGGATATATAATCTATTATTATATATATGGACTAACAACCATTCAGGGGCATTAAGGTCTTTTCCACTTTTTTCTTCCAAAATACCACACAAATAATAACTCATCCTTCTGTTCATCCAAACAACATAATTGTGCACCAAAATTTAACAAATACCACTCAAATACCACAAAACTAAAAAGTGAGTTATTGATACTTTTAAATAACGCAATACCCAATCACCCATCCAAACGACCCCATAGGTTTTTGGTGGAGTGTGATACTTTGTTGACTAGTTTGTTATTTTAAGACTCCTTATTATTTGTCTATTTGTTACCATGTATTATTACGGTATAATGTTGGTATTACTCTAGTACGATAGACTATTTTTGCTAACGTGGTAATTTGACCAAAAATAAATTTTTATGAAAAATTACATTTTACCGGTATAAAACAGTTGAACCACGATCGTACCATAAATACCCTACCACCGATTTTTTTTTATATAAACTCTAGTGTGGTTTTTCAATCATTGCTTAGAATATGAAGCAGGCAAGGAACTCCCTTCCCACCCATCTTTGCTTTTTTACTTCTTTTCCCTTAGATGGGCTTGATTTGCTTTCTACTATTCTAGGTTCCTTTGTTCCTTAGCTAAAAGTTGGAATATGACGGGATGTAATCAACATTTTTAACGAATTGTCCTTCTTTGTAACATTTTAGAGGAAGGGTTGCATATTAATTCGATTCTAGTGTAACCGTAAACAAATGAGATGATTATAACTGTAAAACCTAACGAGAGATTGAAATAATCACACGTCACTATTGGCAACAATAATAAACATAAATAAGTACTTTTCCCCTTCTTTCTCTCTCTTTATCTCTCATGTGTTTCCCTCCATTTGTGCTTCTCTTCTCGAATTCCGACTACTCGATCTCCACCGACATTTCATCAATCCGTCAAGTTGATCCACTTATTGAGTTGGGGAATTGCAACTTGGTATTAGAGCTCACCCTTGACAGAACGATGATGACGAAGACATAGGACAAATTCTTTCTTTCGCAAATCGCACCACTGTTATAAAGACACAGTTGTAAGGATTTCGCATGAACATGACCAGCATTCAAGAGCAAATGATAGATGCAGGATGTTGACATCGACTGCATCCGACTTAGCTTCAAGAATTAAACACTCAATTGTACAGACATTTTCAATAATTGACGACATTGAATACAAGATTGGATGGAATTAAAGGTCATTATGAAGCTCAATTCACAGATATCATGGCCAGATTCAACCTCGCATAGTGGGTCGTTGTCGACACAAAAGGGTTGGTGGTTAGTCAGAATGACGGCTAAGTGATTCTACCACAAACGATACTTCGAGAAGCCCATCCAAGAGTCCAATTTTCACCACCACGAGGTCAGGTCCAAATGAATCGAGTTGCGGATCAGAAAAATAACCTTCCTCCTCTTGGTAACGATCAATATCGGCTTCCTTGTCTTGATTTCCCTTAATTTTCTGGTGATAATCCTAGCGAATGGACTAGGAAATGTGGAAACTTGTTTGAGATCTATGGAATTCCAGTAGACTAGAGAGTTTGTTTGGCGGCCATTTTCTTTGAGATAATGCTAGATACATGGTCTGAAGGTTGGGTAGTAGGTCGTAGGTAGCTAATTTGGAAGGATTTTGTAGCCTTCTTGTGTAGACGGTTCAACAGTTGGTCGTATGGAGTAGTAGTTGGTGAATTTAATAAATTGAGGCATCATGGTTTATTGTTGGACTATCTGGAGCAATTCAAAGAAATTAAGTAAAAAATGATGGCCTTCAATCCTACTCTAGACAATTAATACTCAATTTTGAGTTATATCAGTGGAATGGAGGAAGAATTGAGGCCAACATTGACAATGATGCATCCTCGAACCTTAGCTCATGCATTTTAGTTGTAGAAATTGGAAGATGCTTATAATGTAGCTAGATGAAGGAATTTAATAGGTTCTAGTTTCAAGCCACCAACAATCTTGTCAACTAGTGGGGTAACCCTATCATGAATAAATGATCAGATGTTTCTAAACATCATGTATCCAATAAGCCAAATTCTGCTAGCTCTGCAGGTTAGAGTAACTAACTTAAAGGAACAAGCTATAAGTGTGGTGATCGTTATTTCTAATTTTCTATGACCATGTATGTACGACTAAGAGGCATTTGAATGCTATTTAGACTGATGAGGCAGAAGTTCTACCTCCTGTGAAATGCAGTGAGGATGAAGGAAGTGAAATTGTGGAGGAGGTTGTGGAACTAGGGAGGTTGGTCTGGAACATGGTGGTCAGTGAGGTTTTGACGGAGAGATGTTGCAGACTGTATGGAGGGAAGGGTGTCTGTTCCGGAGCTCTTGAACAACATGCAACTAGTTCCCAAGTGGAAGATTGCAGGGGATTTGGAGTTGGCATAAGCTATTAATAAGAAGAAAATATGCTTTTAGGATTGAACATTCTCAATCTTTACACCAATGTGTCGTAATCTCTCGATCCTGTTTATCTCAAAAGATGAGACGAAGGGTTACCCTAAACGACCATCGCTTGGAAATGGATCCACCGGAACTAGTTTGTTTCACCAGCAAAGGCACATTAAAGCGTTCAAAATCACGGAAAAAAAAAAAAAGTAGAGTATGGCCCATGTTGTTCATCTGCTACTACTAGGCCCATGCCCATTTAGCCCGTACCGATCAAATTTGAAATGAGGAAAGGGTGAAGTGTACAAATAAAAAGAATGCGGAACGAAATGTAGGTCAGAACAACTTCAGGGATGACATTTACACAAAATCAGGATTTCAACTTTGATTTCTTTTTTACTGTTGATTTTTGAAATTTCACAAAGGTGCAGAAACATTTGGCGGTTCAGTTGCCACTTGCCATTATTTGCCGCTCTTCCTCTCCTCTGTCACTTCGTCTTCCCGCCGACGCCGAGCCGTACGAGAAGGAGCGGCGAAACTGAAATCCACCGCCAGAAGACTCATCTTCAGATCTTTCGGCTGAAGAAGAAATTACACAATGGTGGGATCGAAGAAGGAGCTGACGAGTTACGAAGAAATCCGGCGGCAGAGAGTGGAAGAGAACAACAAGAGGATGGAAGACCTCAACTTGCTGAAGCTCGCTAAGCATCTTCGCCCCCAATCTAATCCCTCAGCCAAACCTTCCCCTGTAAGTGCTTGAACAATCTTTGGCGCTTCGTTCTGTTCTATGCCGTTTACGGAGATCGTCGGTTTAATATGAAGTGTCTATCGAGCAGGCGAAACCTAGACCTCGTCGGCCGGCGGTGCTGGCTCCGGCGAGGAGGTCGGCTCGAATAGCGGACAATCCCACTGTTAGCTACAAGGAAGTGAGTGCTACTCTCTCTCTCTCTCTACCCTGTTCATGATTTGAGCTTTGGATCGATACACTGAAAATTTCTGGGTTTTCTGGCAGAGACCAGTTGAGCCATTAATGGAAGCAAGAAGGTTTGGCACAAGGAGGTCATCTCGAATAGCAGACAAGCCCGCTGTTAGCTACAAGGAAGTGAGTGCTACTCCCTGTCTCTGTCTCTACCCTGTTCAAGATTCGAGCTTCGGATCGATACACTGAAACTACTTTCTGGGTTTTCTGGCAGGGACCAGTGGAGCCATTATCGGAAGCAAGAAGGTTTTGTTGCAACTTGAAACCTGGACTCACAAATTTCAAGTGCTTCTCATTTCTCCTAAGAGTCTGATAATGAGGGTTCCTCTGTGATGGTCTCACTTCCATTCCAGGACCTTTAGCTACCAATGTGAAGATGGAGGCGATTCAGAAAAGGAAAACCAAGATGAGGAGGACGACGAAGCATATTCGGAAGAGGGAAAGCAGGACGAGGCAGAAGACGCGGAGAACGAAAACGAGAACGAGGAAGACGATGATACGGATGACACTAGGAGGCGTTCCAAACGAATCAGAACAGGTAAGAATTGCATTTGACTAGATGTCGAACTACGAGAATGTTCTACTATAGCAGCTCAACCTTCTCGTCAAGATGTTCCTTGATAGAAGATCTAGAGACAATAGAATAGTTTACTTGAAATCAGGACTAGTCCTATCGAGGACAGGCAACTTTGCGCTTGTTGGGTGGTGAATTTACAGGGGGATTCTGACTTCTGCAATGTGCCATCTTCTTATGCAGGTCGAAGGTAGCGTCCCATTTGGAGCCTGAAAATGGGGATTTTGTTTTGGGCACTGGAAGCAGTAGGTATCCATTTTGTGCTGTAGAAAAGATAGCCTTCCCAAGGTAACGACTGATATTGGGTTTTAATCTGTAGTAGAACTACAACGCCAGTTTCACTCTAACCATCCTGTAATCGTAACAACTGCAGCACAAATTGCTGATTTTGTCATTGGCTGATAACGGTATAACGATTATCAACCCAGACCAAGCAAACGGGTTCAACGTCTACTTTATCGTAGATGAATGTTCATTCTTAAAAGACGGCACAAATAGTCCAGTTATGTTTCTCTTTTGGTCTGCTTACATTATAGAATTATTCAGAACAGTAGTCCCCGTGTATGTATAACAAACAACAACATAGTTCTGGAGTGGCGGGACTGCCACAAACATTTCTATAGCTTAGCAATCTTTTGACTGAAGGATGGATCAATGCAGACAACCACCTGTACAAGTTTTATATGTTCACAAACATCAGAAACACATCCGAGTATCCAATGGCGATAAATAACAATGTTTGGTGGACATAGGCAGCCACTGGCACGTACCTTGCCAACACTTTTACCGGAATGCAGATACTCAACGGCATCTGCAACTGAGTGGACGCCGATGAAACTTTTGGGGTCTAATGAAATCTGCGCTACCAACAGTCAGCGTTAGTGTCAATAAATGGGAGGGAGGGAGAGAGATGAGGGTGTGTGTCGAATCAATCACCTTCAGTTTTCCCGAGGAGAAAAGTTCGAACAGCTTGGCCAGGTGTTGTTGCCATAGGTGAGCATAGTTAAGCAGGAAAAACCCGGCCTGCAAAAATTGTCAAGCCAACAAGATCAAAGAAGAAAACACTAGATTAGCAACTAGGACCCCTTCTGTAAATGTAGTAGTAGAAAATACGCTAGTGTTTGATATATATAAGCACCACAAACACATACCACGGTCTGGCTTTTTGCTAGAATCTTCTCGCAGAGCCCGGTGTAATTGGAGGGAGTCCATCCATGCTCTCCTTGATACTGAGGTGCAATAAATCAGTAAGTTAAAAGTGAGGTTTAGCAGCTGATCTAAGAACACGGAGTTGACTTTTCCCAGCACTACTAATATCCGCTAGTGGTTACAGGCCATTGTTTCGCCCCAATTATAGCATGAGATTTAAGATTATTTTGTTTAGATGCTCCAGGTTAGGGCCCAGGCCATGATATATGAATATGAAATATGATACCCGGGCTGCTAATCTACAACTTGTACATGATACTTGATCCATTTTTGCAGTAGTAGTTCACTTTCTGTAAACTATTAGTGGTTTCTTTCGTATTAATATACAACTCCAATCTATTATATAATAGCAGCAATATATTGATTTTATTTCTGACTTCTAGTTCAAAGTAAAGTGGAGAAAGAACCTTAGAGATCATTCCGATCACAATCAGTCGTCCATAAACTGCCAGAGCATTCAAGCATAGATCAAACATGTCTCCACCAACAGATTCATAGATAATGTCGAGGCCTTTTGGGAACTCGGTTTTCAGGATCTGAAATAATGGAAGTAATTTTCTTTATCATAGATTAACAGAGATAAAGAGACAGGAATATGGATTAACATCACAGACTTCAAAGTTCATTTCCTGGTCCTAATTAGAGTTGGTAATCAGCCACTGGAACTTGAAACATAGGGTACCTACAGTTTTGATGTTTTCGGCTCTGTAATCGATGACTCTATCAACTCCCAAATCTTTCAAAAGCTTGGCCTTCTCCTGACCTCCACAGGTTGCAACCACTGTATTCCCAGCCAACTTAGCAAGCTGCGCAAGAATTTCAAAAAGGTGTTCAGCAGTCCAAACCTAGAGAAACTACATCAATTTTACTATCTCACAAGATGAGTGAAAAACCTGGACTGCGAATTGCCCAGTGCCTCCAGCAGCAGCAGTTACTAGGACCCCTTTTCCAGATTCCATCTGTCCAACCTAGAATTACCATCACAGAAATGGCAGGCAGAAGAAACAGAACTTAAGCATCTTATCCAGATAGATGACTAAGTGGATGTATATTTGAGTTATTATGACTAGGTGGTTGTATACATTACCTTATCCAGAGCTATTGAAGCTGTTAAGCCTGAAGTAAGCATCGCAACAACTTCTGGATCAGGTCTTGGTACAGGGAGGATATGTTTTGAAGAGACCTAATCAAATATAAAAATCCAAATTTAGCTAAAATCTCTGAGGTTTTAAGGATAGTAATGACTGAAAACTTCAGGCAGAGGATCTTGTACCACTGTGAATTCAGCATAACTTCCAAAAGTCATTATAGCAGCAGGAGTTCCAACTTTCAAGTCCTTAACAGATTCTCCCAGTGACGCAACAATGCCCACTGCCTGGTGCAGAAGGGAGAGGGGGGAAAGAAAAAGAGAAGCAAATCATCACAGAAATGCAAAACTTAGAAACTGAAGGCGATACACTTTAAGAGTAGCATTGCTATCGATATATAGACAACCACTAAAACAAAGGAGGCTACCTCAAAACCAGCGTCAAGTGGAAGCATGGAGCTAACATCATTGTTCCCACCAGAGAAATAACGCCCTGAACTGAAGTTCACCTGTACACAGGTCGTGCCAAAGCTTAGTAAAAATAAGCTGGAGGGCCTAGTCATCCAGTGGTATGCTCATTTTTCATATTTTCGCCGATGTTTAGGTATAAGTAGGTTTAGCCGTTAGGAACAATAAAAAATTTCCCATCAACCATTTGCACTAATGTTGGCTCCATAGTTGGAACCGAGGGCAAGTCCGATGCTTGTCATCCCGGTTAAGGGAACCATGAGGATCTTGCATGCTTTAAATACAAAATAGTAATAACATTGTTAGAATGTTCACAGTCAACTTACATCACTAGCATTCACCCCAGCATATATGATTTTAACAAGAACTTGATGTGGTCCAAGCGGTAACTTTAATGGAGTGCGCACGATGCGAGTAGCATTGCGGAAATTGTGGCTTAAGGTATGAACAATTCTGAAAATCAGAAAACTAAAATGAGCTTGCTGACATTAACACAACCAGACAAATACTGGTGATAAGTTATCATGACAGAAAAATCTGCAAGCCTGGAATCCTCCTAAGATATAAGCAAAATGAAGAACTGAAACCCAAGGCAACTTTGTCAAAGAATTATACACCATATGTGAATGCATCGCACAAAATAATCACTTTCTTTCTCATCTCTAGTATTTCCCATTTGGTGTGGCTCAATGTCATCGGAATTGTTCTAGAGCTCTTTCAAATGTACCCTGGTACTCACTTTTCTTAGCTGCTCCCCATTAACCGTTGTGGTAGGATTTCAAAGGCATGAGATTCAAAAGCTGGGTTTTGCGTAGAATCCAGAGATGAAAGAGAAAACTAGAACAAGATTTACTCACAAAAATGCCAATTATGGTCTAAATAAGACATTCTGGTAATTAAGTGATTTAGATATGTACAAGGTGATGATAAAGGAATTATGAACTAAAACACCAGTGCTTTAAGGTAATATATGCTTCTATTTGAAGAAAAATGCTTCAGATGATGAAGTTTGAGATTCCACACGTTCTACTCACAATTTCTCATAAGTCTCTGGAAGTTGGAGGTCTACTGGGCCCTTGAATAATACTGATTTCTTAGATTGCCAAGGACGCACCAAGTATTTTGCCTCTTCCGCAGGAGTAGGCCAATATTCCAATCCCCTCCGATTCGTAATCCATAGGCAAGAACCAGCTTTGCTCTCATCAGTTATAAGCTGAAAAGCACCTTCAAGAGGAGAAACATCCATTGCGAATAAGTCATGGAACAAGTACATGAGAAAGAAGACAAATTGGTACAATTCTGTCTCATTAATGCATATTTAAGAGGTACAAGGAGAATAGTTTATCCACAACAATTGTCAATAGTAGATTATGCATGTAAAAGTTAGAGGCCAATAACCTGCATTCTAACTTGAATACTGAATTTATGACATTTTAAGAAAGACATAATAAGATTTTTCTTCTTCTTGAAAGCTTAGCATGGTACCTTTTATTACCATTTCCATTGGAACAAAACCTCCCATCATATCAATGAATTTAGATTCCACTTTTAATCCCATCTCAGTTTCAACGAACTGCAAGCATTTTCAGAGGAACATGATACATGTCAGTGCACAGCTTGTAAAAACTAAATTATCAGAAGATATACCATGAAAGGCATAAATTTGATCTTTCCAACATCAACATTGCAAATTAAATCACAGCAAAAAATGGTTCATTTTTATTTCAGAAAATGAAAAAGAGAGAATTGGCAAAATTGGAGGGAGAGATGCAGGGTCCCTTTTAAGCCACCAACGACTGAATCCTATCCTGACAGAAAAGAGAGCCTCAGTGATGGGGTTAGCCTACAACGCTAAAGTTGACCATCGGAATTTTTCGCATGTTTTGAGAAGCTCCTGAATGAAATATTTATGGGTGTTGATTGCAGCATCTCTCAAAACCACAGCAGCTGAGTGATCCAGCTAGATAGAGTTCTTTTTTAGTTATTTATTTTATTGCAGCTTCTACTATGGATAATGCAGAGCGGTTCAGCATTACCAGAGGTTTGGTAATGTTTATTTTAGAATAAAACTAATGATATTCACCCAAAAAGACAGTTTGGTTCAATAATTAAATTAGCTCATATTGCTTGCTGATATTTACATAAAGCATAGGCTACCATGAAATGGTCTAAGATAAGAGTTCAACAATGACATAATTCTCATTCATAATTATCAATTTCCAAAATTCATTAGGGAAACTGAAAAGAAGTCCCCAAATCCTCATATTCTGTTTCTCGTTTTCATAGTAATTATTATTTAACTATTTTGATTAATGTATATAATATTTTTGTTATTTGTAAATGTCCCCCTCTAGTGCAGCTCTTACCTCGGGACAAAGCACATTGATGCGGATACCTTTGCATTTATATGGAACAAGCGACCTGGTAAACATGACAACGCCACCTGCAGAAAAAGTCCTGTAAGTACGAAACAATCTGAAGTAGGAAGGTACTCATACAAAAGAATCTGAAGAAGGATGTCCAAGCGCTTCGATTTCTTCAAGTAATAAAGAGAAGCTTGGAAAGAAATGTTAACGGCACAGGTAGATGCTATCACACCTTTGGAGCCAGAGTAGATAGGATCGTTATACATTGGATAAAGACCTGAAGCAGACCCCAGATTTATAATGACTCCAGGTTTTCTTGTGGCTTCCATAGCTTTAATCTGTTCAGATGAAGTACACACATAGTAGCAGTCAACGAGGACTCATCTGTGCTACGGTCACTAAGACTATTCAGGGCATCTTTAAAGATAGTTTCATCTGCGAACTGGTAAAAAAGTTATCATCCTCATGGAGGCCTCTAGTCTACGATGCAGCAAGTATTAGAAACTTTGCTATGAAGACCCTACCCATATGGAAAGAAGGAAGCCCTTACCAACAGATGCATGCCGGAACTTAGAATCTTTGGCTTTTTAATAAGAAAGTAATAATAACATTGACCATTTCCATGCAACAATGAGCTGATTCAAGTAGAAATTTGAGAGAAGCTAATGGATGAACAATCAATTGCCAAGTTCGACTACGCTGGTGCTGCAACAGGCAAGTGGTGTCTTGACAATGGTAACATTTCCAACACCCACACATCTATTATTATAGCATTAGCAGCTATCAACAAACGTAGGACAGTCACTAAGTGAGCAACAGTAAGGCAGGCATACCGCAAGGCGAGTGCTGTCAACTACAGCAGATAGGTTCACATTAAGAGCAAGCTTCCACGATTTAGTGCCGTCCGTTTGATCCTTTTGGAATGGTATGGGATTGCCAATGCCAGCACAGCTAATACAAATATCCAACCCTCCATAGATCGCAACATGCTTGTCAAAAGCAGCAGCTAATTCTTCTGCAAGTAGCCACCACCAGATACGGTTTTGGGGGTTAAATGGGCAAAAGAACATATGCAACTGCACCAGAACACCTCTCCGCATAGTGCTAGTTATTGTAGCAAACTTACTTGAATTTGATACATCACATCTCACAAAGAGAGTTGATGGGAAATCCAACTTGGAATGAAACTTGGCATGCTCTTTCTGGATAAGGGATACAACTTCCTTCCCTCTTTCTTCAGATAAATCAACCACTGTGACAAATACCCCCTTCTCCGCCAGAGCTAAACTCAGCGCCTTGCCTGCATCCAAACCAGCACCAAGTACATATCAGAGAACCAAACAAACATCAGTAGTATATGTTTTAAAGATACGCAGAGAACATTAATTTGAGTTACACAGCGGCCATCAATCTGCCTCTGATGCAAACACCAATTTGTTGAACAGTTTCAGCAGCTCAAGAAGGAAATTATGAATAGAATATAGCAAGCAGACTCCATTTCTGAAAACACTAGACAGGAAACTGATTCATCGTCCCCAAAACTTTGACGGAATTATCGATCGCACCGCAATCCGATTAGTAACAGCCGAAGCGAAGCGACGAAGAAATTCGGCCGTTCAACTTTGGAGCTGGTTTTCACTCCGGCGAGAGAAGTTTGTTGAACTTACCGATTCCAGAGGCAGCGCCGGTGACCAGAGCTGATAGACCAGGTCTGATCTCCATTCCCCTTTCTTCCTGGACTCGGCTTCCCGCCTGCTCTTGTGCGGTGACCGAAAGTCTCGCGGTGAGGCTGAGGATTAACCGAAACGTGTATTTAATTTTTTAAAATGTTTGCGCCTATCTAGGTGAGGTTGCTATTTATAGAAGTTCGGCCGGTGCATTGTTTTCCCATTTAGCTCTTCTGCTGGCAACTTTTTTTTTAGCACCTACCACGAGGCCTATTTTATTTTCGGCTAGTAAAATCATGGGCTATGAAACAGTATCGTGGTAACAGTGATTTAAATATAAAATACCAACAGTATCGTGGTAACAGTGATTCAAACAATCGGAGGTTAAATTGGTAGACGGTATTTAACGGTGTTAATGGTTGAACTACAATTAAACCATAGTATTGCGATAAAATACCCTATTGCTACGCTGAGTTTTCCGATACCGTTTCATCGGCCATAAGTAAAAATCGTTTGGCTGAAGTTACTTGTGAGTTGTACTCGACGTTACAAATCGGAACAAACAAAGCCTGCTAAGCCGTAGGCATAAATGCAAAGCTAATGAGGACAATAGCTTGGCCGGCAGATAGCTAGCTTTCTAAGGTGAGTATGACAATAGCACAGGTTAACTAGAAGCATAGTACAACGCATATACTTGTTAAAGAAGGCATAAAATGCAACTCACTCAGCTGTCCTGGAAATTTTTACTATATAAATATTAACCAAAAAGCATCTGATGCAGGAGGATAGAAGAGGATAAACGGCTTGTAACCCAATCGGGTTTGGCTCCGTTACAACTTATGACTTGTGAGCATGGAGATGAGAGACATTTCTCTCATTGGATATGTTAGGAAATTGGTGGGAAACAAAACAGATTGAAAGGTGTGAATTCAATCTGTTTATTTGGGTAAATGATAAGGTTGGTCACTGGCTTACTAAAAAAGTTCATGTTTGGTCACTACAAATATTTAATTTTATTCGTTGTTACTAAGATTAGGCAATTATATCAAATTTGGTCATTTTCCGTCCAGCTTCGTTAACTTTATATGATGTAGAAGTCAACTCAAAAAGTTAACCGTTAACTGAGTGACGTGTCTAATAAAAAATAATAAACAAAATAAAATTTAATCCTTAAAATTGCCAACTCATTTTCCTAATAAAATAGAAACAGTAATCAACACATATATTTACGTGGTTTTCTCGTTTTGTATGAACGAGACTAGTCCACGGCCGAAGCTAGTTTATCCTCTTACTCAGCTTAGCTTCAACAATTTATGTTACATACGTATTTATACATCTAGGCTGGGAAATTAGCCCTGAGAACGAGGGTTCGAAACACGTTAACTACAATATTTTAGAGAGGAATCGAAAGTCGGTATCATTTGACAAAAAAAAAATGAGAGATGCTGATAGACCAATAATTACACCTGTTTTTACCCCTATTCTTGAGCCGTTTGAGAGGTTGATTCTCGTGTTTTAAGCCGATTTCACGCGAGGTTGTGCGTTTATATCATATTTCAGGGCCGGGCATTGGAATCGAGGCGAAGAAACGAGTTTTGGGCCGAAAGGAGCAAAGTTGGGTCGAAGTGTGCTGCAGGTGGAAAATACCCGGTCATGGGCTCAAATACCCCACCGGGTATTTATTGTTTTTGGCGTCTGAGAAACAGAAGGGGTCCCGGTCGTGAAACATAAATCCCCGGTCGGGGATTCTTAGAGAAGACCGGGAATTTTTCTCTTCTCTTAAACGCGCGTTTCAATTATACCCAATCGAGACCCAAAATACCCGACCGGGTATTTCGACCGGGTATCGCGACAGTCAAGTTTTTAAAGGAAAAGAAGGCTGAAAATCAGGGGTTCCGAGTTTTAGAGAGACAGAGCGATTCCTAGAGAGAGAAAGCGACGAACAAGAGTTCCCAAGTGCCCTAGCTTGATCTTCATCACCGTTGGAGCCCGGCTTGAGCTTGGAGAAGTGCCGATCGACTACCAGGAGCTGAAATCCATCCTTCACAGTATGGTTTCCGCATCTGAATCTGCTTTTGCTTCTTTCTTCATGGAGTAGTTCTCCCATTCATCTGGGTATGGAGAACCCTAGATTTGTATGTTAGGTCTGATTGTATGAACCCAAGTACGGATTTTATGATTTGATTATATTCAATTGAGGCTTGAATGATTGAATGACTTGAATCCTGATCAAATTCCTGTTATTTCTGCTTTAGCCTAGAATGAGAATATCTGCCTAGGTTAATAGAGTTCCCTTAATTGAAGGTAGTGAATTGGTGACTTTAGTCGAGGAGCCAATTCACTATTCTGTACCGAATTTGCTTCGGTAGTGGAGGTTTGGTTCGTTAGGGCCTCAATCTGTTTACTCCAGTGGAGGTTAGTCGCCCGGTGGAGACTCAGATTGAGAGGGTCTGGAGACCTTTAGTCGAGACTTCAGACTGTTTAAGAACCTTCCGCAGTATAACTATCATAGAAACTGAACTTGGTAATTGCAATCCGGCTTAATTGCAGTCTAGGGGGAACCATATCCGGGTGACCTCTCTAGACTTGAAACAACCGTTTAACTTGCTTTGTGTTTTTGCTATTTTGAACATGCACTTAAGTTTTACCGCTAGATAATAAGAATTCACTGAGTAGTCATCACATCTAGGACCCGGGTTGACATTAAAACCCAAACCCACTATACTACGCTTTAGGAAGTGGTTTCACTTGGCCAGTTTTTAGAGTGACAGTAGGAGTGAGTCAGATGCTCTGTCCTCTCTCTTCGAGCTGGGAAATTGGCTCGGTCGACTCCTCCCCCGAGTAGTGGTGGCTGTCTTTCGCGCTAACTTACTGAACCAACAGTCGGATGGAGAGAATTGGGAGAAAGGGGAATCCTGGGATCCTAGCGGATCAGTACCCACGTCGGCGGAACGCCGACGTCCCCCTCGAGAGCTCACGAGAATGGACCGTGGAGTTAAGTGAGTCCTTTGTGGTACGCTACGCAATACAAATCTTGTTCGCAGTAGTCACAAACTTAAAACTACTGGTGGTGATTGTGAGAGCTGGATGCTCCCTAAAAACCCAGGTGTTCAAAGATGAAGGGTTGGCGATTTTGCCTACCATCATCGTCTGATTTGGAGAATGAAGAGACTCCATCCATTTGCATGACTGTCGCAGGGTCGATGGTACATTGGGAGGAGAATAAGGGTTCTCCTGGTGAGATTCCCTTCCCACGGCCAGATCCCGTAATCCATGGGGAAAAGATTACTTCTGATCTTTTGGCTGACTGCCAAATCAAAATGCAACATCAAAATCGTATTATTTTTCAAATTAAAACTCCTAGCCCTTCTCTAACTCTTCTAGGGCTAGGTTTTTCTGGTACGTTGGTTTGTGGGCTAGTGGGGTTAAAATTCTCTTATAAAAGAAAACCCAGGTAGCGGCTCTTCCCCTACCAAGGACGTGAGTTGCCAGCGGTGATCAGAAGCTCTGCTGCCCCGACTTCTTTGCCACAACCCGACGCCAGAAGAAACTCAGGTATGGGACTGCTTGGTGCCCTCCCTCCCTTTGGGTCATCCTCGTCGACTTCCCTTCCTGTAGTGCCTTGTCCTTTCTGGGTTGCGTCTTTGGAGGGCTTGTTATCGCAAGCTCTTAAAGTTAGTGGATGCTCACCGCAAGCTAACGTGAGTTGCCCCCATTCATCGAAATTTTTTCAGGTCGCCGAAATGGCCCATATCACGGAGGACCAAGTTGTCCAGTTCTCCTTAGAGGACGTTCAGTCTGTGCGATTTCGCTCTACCCGAACTCTGCTGGGTAGGGTGTTCAATGAATTTACCGTTCCAATCATGGAGCTCCGTGATGCTGTGAATGCTCATTGGCAAGGGTGGGGCCAAATTCGAGTCTCTCAGGCAAAGCATGGCCTATTTGAGTTCGTTCTACGGAGTGCAGAGTCCAAAATCTGGGTGTTGAAACGTACCCCCTGGGTCGTTAGGGATACTCTTATCAACCTGCGATCATGGACACCAACTGTCACCAAAACTACTTTTGATGATTTGGCCATCGCACCTTTCCGCATCCAACTCTGGGGGGTTAAGGACGACTGTTGCACTAAACAGTTCAGCCAAAAACTGATAGCCCCAACTATTGGGCAGGTCCTGGAAGCTGGTGTTTTCGCAAGCAAAGAGACTTCGGAGTATTTTGTGAAGGTTCGCGCCCTGGTTGATTTCGCTAAGCCATTGTGGTCTCAACTCTTTGCGCCTAGCGAGGAGATTGGAGGGTTTTGGGTCTCGCTCAAATATGAGTTCTTGCCTAGTTTTTTCTTCCACTGCGGGAGATTGGGACATTTGCAACGTGAATGCATGTATGATCCCCCGACTAGGAAAGAAAAATTTGGACCCCATATGATCGCAAAGAAACCGGGACGGAGAATCTATGAGGTAGATGAACCTGTTCAAGCCTTTGATGGCGCCCCAAAGTCGGTCTGGGTGAACAAGGCAATTCGAGAAGCGACTGGGGCTCAAAGGGATGTTGCTCGCCATATGCTCCAGCAAAGGGAGGATCGGGAGCTTGCTTGTGAGAAGCTGGATTCGATCCGACCCCAACAACCGCGACGAGATGACTGGGAACATGGCGGGAGAGATGCTTCGATGCTGGGTACATGTCACAAGGCTTTTGTGAGAAGCAGTCCGCGTGGGTTCCACGTTGCGAGATCCCCTAGAGTTCGAGCTGGGAAGGGTGTACGTCGAGCAATGCATGCACAGCCGGACCGTCAGCCGATGGGAGGAAATGCTCGAGCTCGAGCGCCTGATACTCGAGCGCGGAATAAGATTCGAGAAACTCGGTTGTGGGGGGAAGGTAACCTCAGGGTGATGAATAATGTGGTGACTGATTCTCGGCGGAGGAGGTTGATCCTCAAGGAGGACCCGGAGGATGATTTTGAAGTCCAAAACTTGGCTTGCAAGGCAGTGAACGAGGGTGCGGCGGTGGGGGAAATGCATGCTTGCTCTCCCATGAAGCCACATCATCCTTTGGCAACGG